GGGGAGAGAAAGAGAGGAGAGCAGAGAAAAATAATAAATAAATAAATAAGTAAGTAAATGAATGGGCCCAGAATGAGGGGCCCAAACACCAATGAAAACAGATGGCCCAAATGATCCAGCATTTCAAAATGTCCCCTGTTACTGTCTACTTAAAACTTTGCATCTAAAATAACTTCAAGCCTGCTGGCTGAGATGGTCCAACCTCACAGACTACTCCAGCCTGAACTTCATTATTATCCCAATTTTCTCAAGGTTCCTGCAAAGATAACAGTGCCCAAAGACAAGAGGAAGGAGTCTAGAAAACAATGCCCATATTCACAAAAGATGGGTTATGAGTGTTTATTATCATTATTAAGGGGGGTTGGTTACAAAGTTTTATTGGTCTTAGTAAAGACCAAGCTAAACAAAAGAGTTAAATTCAAAGATCTTTTTCTAAAGGAATAAAGGGGGGGGGATATGATATAGGAATGTGTGAAAAAAGGGTAGATTATTGAATCTATTTCAGTTCTAAAACATCTATTAATCTCAAAATATTTTACATTAGTGTGGACTTTGGTTTATTAATACAAATTTAAAGTTATTTTTCTATACTATATGTATGTTTCTACTCTTGTTAGGAGTTGCTTATGCAACTCACTTAAAAATGTAATGTATTAAAAAGAAATACAGGTTAGCGGTTAGCCATATATAATAAGCAGTAATGTTAGGCACGTTTCCAAGGTTAAACAGATATATTTAGATAGATGATCTTCAAACACTTAAAGGCCTACAGAATATGGCATGTAAACTGTTTTAATAATGGAAGACTTTCTTGACAGTGAGATATGTCTGCTCCTGGCAGCATGAATTTATTTCGGAGAAGATAATAGATATCAAAGAAACTTCATATGGAGTTTGCCTTTCTTATGGCAAAAGCTAGGCATTAGGGCAAAAAAAAAAAAAAAAAAAAAAAACCCTGCCTTTACCTCAATTGCTGACAGTATACTGTCCAAACTGGATCAGCATGACCCAAAAAAAAGCAACTGCCAGACTTTGCCAAGACGATATATCAGTCCTTCAAAATTCCCTGCTTCTTAGCAAGAACCTGGAAACAACTTAAATGCCCCTCAACTGAAGATGGATAAGAAAAATGTGGTATATTTACATGTAGTACTACATGGCCGAAAAAAATAACGACATCTTGAAATTTGCAGGCAAATGGATAAATCTAGAAAACATCATATTGAGTGAGGTAACCCAGACCCAGAAATGCAAATATCATAAGTACTCACTCTTAAGAGGCTTTTAGACATAAAGCAAAAAAATACCAGCCTACAAATCACAATTCCAGAGAACCTAGACAACAAAGAGGGCCCTAAGAGAGAAGTACATAGATCTAATCTTCATGGAAAGTAGAAAAAGACAAGATCTCCTAAGTAAATTGGGAGCATGGGAACCAAAGGAGAGGGTAGAAGGGAAGGAGAGGAAAGAAGGGGAGTAGGGAAAAATATATAGCTCAATAAAAACATTAAAAATTTCTTGCTTCTCAGAAATGTCTGTCAGATATACCAGGCCTGTAGGGCAAAGCCAGATTCCCCAGCATTATGGAAGAACCTAGGATGACTGTCCAGGGAGCCAGACATCCCTGTTGTTAGTTAATATTTTACTCTACTGGGGTCTTTGATAGAGTTAAAGATTAAATAATTAGACACATAACTTTCCTTAGTTATGATAAAAAGGTAAATTAGTTATGAAACTCTAGACTCACAAAGATAAGATTGATAATAGAATATTTTTTCAGATTTTGCCATATACAAATGGACTGGATATTGTAACCATATTTCTTACTTATTAACTGTTTTTGTTGTATATAATTTTACTATGTTAAAGTTAAAACATTTTTGAATTAGACAAAAAGGGGGAAATACAGACTATTCCTTTACAGTGTGTGACTACATGTCACTGTCATTGGTTTAATGAAGAAGCTGACCAGCCAATAGCTGGATAGGATAAGGTTAGGGAGGAGAACCAGACAAAGGACACCGGGAAGTCGGGCAGAGTCAGAGGGTCATGGGTCAGATGCAGATGAATCAGGATGTGTAAAAAATGAGTCTCCATGTCAGTTATTTGGGAACTGGAGGATGGGTTTGCCTATAGATCTCTCTCATACTGTGTCTGAAAAGCTGAATTTTAAAAAGAGATAATGCCTTAGCTAGAGCAACTTGAATGAAGACCCACCTTCAGAGGAGGGTGTCATAAGTAAGATCTTTTCTTTTTTGAAATAGAAGCCAGGAGGTGGTGGTGCACACCTTCAATCCCAGCACTCAAGAGGCAGAGACAGGTGGATTTCTGTGATATTGAAGCGAGCCTGGTCTACAGAGGGAGATTCAGGATAGCCAAGACTATACAGAGAGCACACAGAAAACCCTGTCTCAAGACATCAAAAGACTATGAGGTACACAGCATTTAAAATGAGATGTAAAAACCAGACAGTGAGTATATTCCAAAGGATGGAACAAAATCACTAAGAATGTATTTGCCTTTCTTTACAAAGACAGTCATGACTGTTTTAAAAGCATCAATCTTTTACATCAGGAAGTAACTATGTTTTGATATTAGACAAGTTAGTTCAGTTAGTTCACTATACTTCCTTAATGAATAGATCTGATATTTGCACATTTAAAATGAGTAAAATATACATGTGAAAATGTACCCTGACATCTAACTCCTATCTCAAACATCATACAAAGAAATCAACTCTGGAAAAAGTCAGGAACTATCTGTAGATGTAAACCTTAAAAAGGTTCCTGTAGACGAAACCTTAAAAACTCCTCATAACCAAGAAATGGGCTAAAACATATTAAATACAATACAACTGGGCTAAAACATATTAAATACAATACAACAGTGCTAGTCATAAAAGGAAAAAATTTAATCAAAGTGCATTACATTAAATGAAATTAACAATCAAAATGCATTACATTAAATGAAATTGCTTTAATGTCCATTTATCAAAGTATACCAATAAGGGAATGAAATGACAGGCCAAGAAAGGGAGTAGATATCTCCAATGTACACGGATAAAAGGAACTCATAACGGGACTACATTTACAGAGCTCCTACAAATGAATGAGATCACAAACAAAACCCAGCATGTCTGCAGCCCTAGCTACCCGAGCAACCTCAGCAATATTGTGAGGTACTAGGAAAAAAAAAAAGAGAGAGAGAGAGAGAGAGAGAGAGAGAGAGAGAGAGAGAGAGAGAGAGAGAGAGAGAGAGAGGGGATTAACCAATGCAAAAAGTACAGGACAATTGCTATTCTTTACCAAAGAAAGCATTAACCTGGTTAACAAACATGAACAGTGCATACCATGAGCCATCATGGAGACACAAAGCAAACTGTAATGCACACTGTCTAGACAGCAACACCAATCAAATTAGATTGGTACAAACTGGTACAACCACCGAACACTCTGGTGATGTCTACGAGTCTAAACATCAGCAACAGGTGACCCCTAAACTCTTCTCGGCAGAGAAGTGTGTGCTGAGTTCAGAGTGGATGTCCTTTAGTTACCTGAACCTGCTCACACCACAGACATAACTCAGGATTCCCGCTTCCAAGCTTTCTACATAGGGAATGATGCTAACACTGTAATATTATACTAACACGTCTGTCTCTGCAGGTCCTTAGTGCTGACTCCTCAAGAGCACCATCCCATCAAGCTACATCAAGTCCAGCATCCTCTGCATAAAACAGAACCATCTTCACCAAACCCAAACTTTTAAACTTCTCCACTTAACCAAAGCACAGGGAGCTGGTTTTAAAGTCTTTGGTTGTAAGTATAATTGCCTCCTGAAATATTTTTTTTCTTGGAATTGCAGTTTACTGTGGTACGCCGGTGCACTAACAGGCAGACCAAAGCATCCTGATACAAAGGTTACAGCATCCAGAGGGATCAAAGCATTCACTAAGTGAAACTGATTTGCCCATCAGCTCTGTAGAGTAGACTCTGCCCTTCCCTTGGGAAGCTTCCACTAACAGTGATTTAAGAGGTATTTGCTAAGCCTGGCAAGATGGCCCAGAAGGTAAAGGCACTTGTCAAGTCTGACGATCTGGTTAGGTCCTATAGATTCACATGGTTGAAAAAGAAAACAAATTCATACAAGTCTTCCTCTGATCTCTGTTTGCATGCACACACACACACACACACACACACACACACACACACACACACATATGCAAGTACATAGAAGCATATGTACTCACACAAATATATGTAATTTTGTCAAAAAATTATTTTCTAAAACCCAATTTAGCAGCATTCAGAAGTGTTGGTGGGGTTTCTGTCCTGCTTGGTTCCCACAAACATTAAATCCCAAAGAAATCACACAGAGGTCTATGTTAACTATAAACTGATTGGCCTATTAGCTCAGGCTTCTTATTAACTCCTATAGCTTATATTAGCCCATTATTTTTGTCTATATTAGCCACATGACTCAGTACCTTTTTCAGCAAGGCAGTCACATCTTGCTTCTTCTGTGGCGGGGGCCAGGACTGCAGAGGAATGGGCTTCCCTCTTCCCAGAATTCTCCTGTTCTCATTGACCCACCTCTACTTCCTGTCATGTTGTCCTGCCTATACTTCTTGCCTGGCTACTGGCCAATCAGCATTTATTTAAAATATAATTGACAGAATACAGACCATTCACAGGAGACTGAAGCAGAAAATCATTCCAGGCTAGAGGCTAACCTGGGCTACATTGAGACCCTGCCTCTAAGGATCAAACATTCCAGGCTAGAGGCTAACCTGGGCTACATTGAGACCCTGCCTCTAAGGATCAAACAAGAAAAAGCCATCTTCTGGAAAATCAACAAACTTATGGCTAAAAGTGAACTTGACATTTTGTTTGAATTTCGTGATAAAATCTTCCAAAAAGGTGTTGCTTGAAGGTTCTGGCTCTTCTAAAGCTCACAGCTTCTGTAAGGATAGTGAGCAGTCCCCATGACAACCAAGTTAGTCTAAAAAACAGAGGGTCGTCATGTGTAAAACCAGTCCTGTTGCCAGGCAACAGGGAAGCATTCATAGCACACTGAGAAAGCTTTCTCAAAGCTTTTCTAGAAAAATAAACTTTTATGGGAGATACCAAAACTTCTTTCTTTCAAACATGGGGAAAACAGCACTTCCTCAGGTGAAGACTCCAGACAAATAAATTTAAGTAGTCTTCTCCTGTGGGTAGGGCCACCATATGGACCACACTCCAGGTTCGTACTTAAAACATGATGAGACTTTTGCCTTTGTAATTCTACTGTACAGTTCTTGAGTATGAACTTTGTGGAGGACAAAGTCATTTGAAAGTGTCAAAAAGCTAAACTCTCCCAACAAAGCTTTAGCAATTCTGAATTTTCTGGTTTGAGCACTGAACAATAGCACAAGGAGACCTAGAGAGAAGTTATAATACACACAGAAAAGGAGGGAATGAACCAGATAATAAATAATGGGTAAAGATTAAAAATCAGCAAGAACTCAACATTTTAAATAAATACAGTCAGAGAAAACAAAACAAAACAAAAAAAAACCCAAAAAAACAGATGCAATGTGTACATAGCGGTATTTATGCCTACCCACACATCAATTATGAAGTCTGTGTTTAGAGGGTATGGTAGCCCACTGTTCCAAACCTAAAAAAGATACTGATTTCTAATTTTATTCTACATTAACAGAACAAAAAAACCTCTTAAGAAATAATGAATTGTAAGATATGGACAAGATAAATCTAAGATATTCTGCGCCTTACATTAAGGATTAAAATAATCAAAAAGTTTAAGTCAAGACTCAATTATCTTTTTTTTTTCTTATTCTAATACAGATTGCTTAAGCAGAGACAAAATTCAGATCTGGAAAGCCACTTAAGACTCAATCATTACACACGCCACCTGTGCCTCAGTGTTTCTATCCCGTGTGTTATTCCAAACACCTTACAGTTTGGCAACTCAGAAGTCAGGTAGAAAAGGTGAGGCTGCTAATAGCATATACAAGAACACAAGAAATAACTGCCCAGCGGCAACATAGATCAGCTGAGCACATCCTAATGAGTATGATTTAAAACATCATCCTCTAGGAACTACACTTCTATTTGTTTCCTTTAACTGATTAGTCCAGACTACTACTTCTTAGAGAAAAAAAATTAAGATTTATAAACCCAAGGCTAATTTTTAGTATCAAGATGAATGCTAGTTACAGGGAAATGTAGTGTATTTGGGCCTGCCTCTGTTCTGAAAGGGCAGTGAGACAAGACTAGAAAGGATATCAGAACCTCAGTTGCTGGAGCCTTCTATTTCTTTCCTCTGTAATCCTCTGCAGAGATACATTGGCCAGAATGTTAACTGCCTATTTTAAAAGGATCATCGCTTCTTTGTGAAGGGTCAGAAAACACATCTCTACCACTAACCATAGACCATGTGGCAATGGAGGACCAGCGCATGTCACTGCTATGAGCGAACAGGGCCCTCAAACTGAGGTTCTGCAGGAGCCATAGTTACTCGGCCCTCTGACCTTCCTACAACTTAATACCTTATGCAAAGGGTGGAGGTGGGGAAAAAAAAGCAAAAAGAATGGAAAATACAAGACAGCTGAGACCATTAAACACCTATCACATGCCAGCAGGATCAAATATGACTTTACTCCGTGCCTTTAAAGGTACAGAAGATGACTGAAATCTAGGCAGGTTCACAGTTGGTGAAGACTCGGAACAGGGAGCTCCTGGAGTGCTGGCTAGACAGAGCAATGGCAAACCCATGTCCCCAGTGTCTCCCATGCCACTGTTCCTCTTTAGTTACAAGGCCAAAAATCATTTTCCAAATACACTCTGTCTTATTAAAAAAAAGTTACCATGAAAAGCTCCAAAAGACACACAAATATTAGAATGTTAGCTCCTAAGCGACCCCTTTGTTTGGCTCATACCTACCCTGCCACCTTTACTCAAAGTCTTTGAAGTCGTTTCCCCATTTAAAACAATCATTCTTTATTATCAGTGAATGGTCAGTGCCTCACAAGTTTCTCTACTAAGCTTTAAACTACCTTTTAGATACCACACACTTAGGATCCAGGACTCAGATGATTCAGGCTGAAAGCCTCTTTCCGCTGATGCGCTCAGAAAACATTACGCAAGCTGTCCAGGGAGGGAAGCAATGAAGTGGTCCCACCCAGCTGCAACATCTATGAAGCAGGGCAATTACAGCATGGTTAGATATACATAAAGGTGCAAAAAGTAGCACTCACACGTCTGTGACAACCAACAGCTGTCCACCTGAAAGTACAGCCCACTCAACAGGAGGGAAATCATAGCAGGTGCTGGAGGGCTAACCAGCTTCATGGGACTAGTGAGATCATGGATCTTAGACAAGAATGCACCACTGCTTTGCCAAAGCAGCATAATCACTAACTCCATCCCAAATCGTATCCTTATACCCACGGATAAGTGTGGCTAACTCTCATCAAATAAGCCTCTTTTTATGGAAAATTGGTATCATCACAAAAACCCATAACTGAGCCGGGCAGTGGTCGTGCACACCTTTAATCTCAGCACTCAGGGAGGAAGAGGCAGGAAGATCTCTGTGAGTTCGAGGCCAGTCTGGTCTACAGAGTGAGTTCCAGGACAGCCAGAGACACACAGAGAAACCCTGTCTCAAAACAAAACAAAACAACCCCCCCAAAAAACCCCCCAAAAACCCACAACTGGACAACATGTGGACATTAAGGGATCATGGGGAGTCCAGTCCTAATGGCTCCATCTACATGGCAGCTCCTGAATCTATGGCTCAGGGAACACTGTGGAAGAAGGAGCAGGAAGATCCTAGGAGTCAGAGTACCAGGAAGAATGTGGTGAAATAGTCTCTCCTAGAAATGGCAATGGCAGTATCAGTGGATATGTTAATGTAGAGGGGGAGAGATTTTGTAGGGGTCTCACCCCAAACAAAGAATTATAGGCTGCTACTGACTGCTGGAAGAAGGAAAATTAACTCTCCCAGGGATGAGCCTCCTCATTGGTTATCCAACACAGTGTCAGCTCTGAAACCATATATGTGCAAATAAAAAACCTTAAACTCAACAGATTTTACACACACACACACACACACACACACTTAAATAAAAAGAGACTATCTCCTAGAGTGGGGTATATGAGAGGGGCTGAAGAGAGGAAAGAGAGAGAAGTGATGAGATTTTATTTCAATTAACATACTAAAAACAAAAAATTTGAAAAGTAAACAAAATTTAACTGGAAAAACGTCTTTTTAAAATTAGTTATCTTCAATCAGAATAACCAGGACCCAAACATTACTTTCAGCCTCCTTTCTTCCCATCCCTTCTTCCTCCTCTTCTTTTTTACTTTTTAAAATGATATTATATGTGGACCAAATAGGGCCATTTGTTTCTACAGAAGCTCCCCTACTTTTACTTAGTCCTTAGTGAGCATGTATAATGTATTTTTCCATCTCTTCCATTTCCTATAAAGTGGTAGACAAGCTGGTGCTCCCAGAGCACTAGCGCCTGCTCCTCTTCCCCAGAGGCACGATCCACGTGTGTTCCACCAGTACTGCTGCTCCCCGTTCGCAGGTGGCCCAGGTTCTGCAGCTTTACCCAGCACCGTATGTTGATGAATATGCAGGAGCTGCTCCAGCCACCAGGTTAATCAAGAATTTTTAGAGGTAACACAGGTTACCAACCAGTACCCAGGAGGTGGGATGGGATGAAGATGTGGCTGGGGATGGAGAAGTCAGGGGATAACCACAAGCTGGATAGTCAAAGAGCAATTAAAAAATTCCAACTATAATTCTGAAAACTATTGTGTGTACTGATTCCAAATAAACTCAGAGTGCGAGAGAGCTCCTTATTTCATGTCAGCTCACTAAACCTTTACAAAGTCTTCAGCTTTCTTCAGAGAATGGTACCCATCTCTAAGCCAAACTTCTAAATCTTGGCGGCGAAGTCGATTCTCCTGGAAAGCTTTTATAACTCCGAGGCTTCCGTCTCACACAATCAACTTCAATCTGTTGGTCTCGGATGGAAAGCATGCCTACGGTCTGTTTTTAGGTATCCCAGGTGACTCTGTTACACATCTCTAGCTGAGAGCCACTGCTCTGCAGACTGGAAATCATCTGACAGACAGTCACCATCCCACACTCTGCACCACATACCATTCTAGGCACTTTATATATACACTTGCATACATGAGAAGGCAGGGCTGGTGCTCTCAACAGATCACAGCAAACTAATGGCAAACACGCTTTAATCCAAAGTGGTTTGGATTCTAAACCCACAAACTGCATGCTACAATTCCTTCTGAGTATGCATGAATTATATTTCTATCAAAAGAAAACATAAAAATAAGAGAATTAACTCCTACCTTTTTAGAAGCAGCACAGTGACACCCTGAATCAAAGTAACCAAGCACATTTTGCACAAGGGTAACCATACACATCTTGCAATAAGATAGTATATACATACTTGCACTAAGGTAATCAAGTGCATTTTGCATGGGGTAACCAAGTACATCTTACATGAAGGCAACCATATGTATCTTGCAAGAAGGTAACATGTGCATCTTAAAGAAGGTAGTATATGCATCTTACAGGAAGGTTGCCATATGCATATTGCAAGAAAGTAACCATGTCCACCTTGTACTAAAGGGCACATGGTAATAAGCAGGTGAGAAGATCCTCTTTCTGTAAGAAGATTCGATTTGAGATTTTTAAGTTTTCTATGATTTCTCACATCATTTTATGCACCAGCTATTCAATATTAAATATCAAAAATCATTTCTGTTTTAAAGCCTAAGGGAACGATATATAACACGCATTAATGTCCTACCTATTTCCGTTCTGCTGACTCCAATTCCATTAAAGATTTTCAGGTAATTAAGGTGACAAGAATCAGAATCTTCAATGTCAAAGTCACCAAACTTGATGCGAATTCTCTCTCCCATCTTTACTCGGATCTCCCACTCACACACGGTGCTGTTAGGGTAGCTGTACGGGTAGTTGATGGATGAAAGTGTCCCACTCTCAGGGCCTAGTACGGTGTGTCCACACCCATCACCTTGAAAAAAAAAAACAAATAAATTATTCTCCCATCTTAAGCTTACATGTAATCAGGACTTTTACAGACTAAACAGCAATGTATGACATCATATGTTTTTTTTCTCTTTCATACGGTTTCAGTTAATAGGTTTTTTTAATGTTTCATCTATTTATTTATTTATTTATTTAAGACATCATATGTTTTAGAGAGCCAGCACTTCCTTTACAACACACACAGCAGGTGACATACATGGTTCTGAGCACATCTACTCCCTGCAAGGAACCAGAGAAGCCAGGCTAGGCCAAAACCAACAACGCAACAAAATTAAAATTAACATGATTTATAAGTTCAAAGATTTTCTTTCCATTGGGACATACAATTATGTAATAGTTAAATATGTACCATAATAAATGAGAATATCAGCATGTATTCCTGGTAAATATTCAGTCAATGTAAATGTAAAAATGTGGTCAGCTTCCCCGACTTACAAACATAAGATGCTCACAGAGGTGAGCTGCAGTAGCATTTTTAGAAAACATCAATGCATACGAAGATGTTCCAGGCACCAAAGCAAGATTTGCTGGCATTTAATTCTACATTCCATTGAGACCAGACTGTGTAACTTCTCCCAAATCTTATCTCTCTCAGAATACAAAGGAAAAAAACAAAATGTTAATGACTCACTGAAGACTAGCAAAGAAATGACCTTAATATCTTAGCAAAAAAATTACTTTGTTTCAGAAGTTTCTTCAGCAACTGAGCATTAAAATTTTAGCACCAGTATATTGTCTGGAAACATGAAATATTTGCATCTTAACTTTCTCACAGTCGATTTGCAAATAAGTGTCCAGGTCATTGCCTAATTGTACACCTAAAGAATTGAGCTGTTGCTCCAAGGTAATATTCAGCATTCGGTAGCTATGGGATTCAGTGAGCCTCTCTGTAACAGGCTGATGAGTGTATCCTTTTAATAAAGGGGTTTCCTCCTTCAAAAGAGCTATTGGTTGTCACGTTTTGGAATAGGATAGATCTTATGGAAGAAAACATTAAAATTAATACTTCTGAATTTTAACTTAATCATGATCACAGAGGCTGTAATACAACTTCCATCATGTTGATTTATTATCTGACAATGTACTATTGATATCATTCACTAGAACAGATTAAAAATTCTAAAAGCCTAGTAGTCTTGTAGCAAGTAGTGGGTGTCTCATAAGAATGTATTAACTGGACACAACAGAGAAACTTCAGTTTACCAAAAAGCAATTTAACTTCCACAAAGGAACAACTTCCTGCCTGAACCCCTTTAACAACACTTGAAACAACACGTGTCTTCTGCTGGCAAAGTTTTATTATCCAATCCACATTAGTACAGCACATTTGAGTTCCTGAACAAACACTTCTCAAATAAAGTTTAGTCAACAGTGAACTATATGCTTGACCCCCACTTTCTTTCATGTACAAGAACTAGGCATAGTGGATTAATAATATAAAAGACATAAGACGAGAATGAAACAATGTGGGGGGTGAAATGCACCCTCTGATTTTTCTCCAATAAAATAGGCTTTTACACAAACAGAAAAAAAAAAAAGAAAAAAACTAAAATTTCCTCCTGCAGCTACCATAAAATCCCATGAATCTCCTCTGGATGTAAGATAAAGCAAAATCACAAGGCTATACGAGCCTTCACAGTGAAATAAGCACCGAAGTCAAGCAACTTTGGCTGATCACTAACATTTCCCCTTAGAAAGGCAAAAACAAGTACTCTAAAATAATTTTAATGTTTGAAACTAGCCTGTGATTCCTGGAAGTGTTTCAATATTTAAAAAACAATCCCTTGATAATTAAAAGCTTCAACATGCTGCTATTTTCGATATGCAAAAGTGAAAGCAGCGATTGGAAGTGCGGATGGAATACCGAAAGCCAGCTCCTGACAACTCCACACGACTGTGACGCAGCAGCGCAGTTCATGCGTTCCCTGCAGACTGCCATTCACTGAAGGTTGTTACTTTAAAATGAATGCGAAAAAGTACAAGCAGAGTGTTCAGAGTAATTTTTAGATGTCTTCATGTGCCTTTTAAATTTTCAGTAAAATATACAAATTGCTTCTTGTCCTTTTCACCATTAAAAAATGGTTTAACAAAACAAGCAGTAATTGGTGAAAATAGGGCTTTTGCATGCAGTGTGATCACGAAAACAATTAAAACGAAGCTGTCTTTCTTCAGGCTCTTGTGTCGGAGGAGGGAGGGCACAGCTTATGAGTCTACAGCAGTGTGCCAAGAATGCTCTAAAGTATGTGCTGGAGCTCAGCACTCCCTCCTCTCCAGATGATGTGCACCAGAAACCCGAGTTAAAAGGATGTCTCCAGCCTGCTGCCGTGAGCGTTCCCGAGTGTTTTACATTTCAAAAACTCTGATAAATTTAACCCAACTAGCTAGAATTTGCCACCATCTATGTGTTTAGAACAGCCCAGCTGGAAGGGGTGGGTATGCAGAACACATATTTACTATGCCAGTGGCTGCATGTTTGCCTGTTGCTTTAAATGAAGAAACACACTTACATTGCAACTCCCGGACATCTCGCATGCAGATTCCTGACCTGCTAAACTAGCTTTGACCTAGAAAGCAGTAGTTCTCAACCAGGGGGTTGCGACTTCTTTGGGGTCAAACAATCCTGTCACCTGGGTCTAAGGCCTTCAGAAACATCAGATATTTACTTGACAATTCATAACAGTAGCAAAATTACAGTTACAAAGTGGCAATGAAAATAATTTTATGGCTGGAGGTGGGTTCAGCACAACATGAGGAACTGCATTAGGGGGGGTTGAGAACCACTGGACTAAAGAATCCATGCCCACGGTATGGAACACACTTCTCACCACTGAAAGGTCCCCACGTTAAATTCAAGTCAAGGGAAAACCATGTCCTTGCTTTCACTTCAAAAGTGGCAATCAATTTCCAGGTTATTTTTAGGCTTCTTAAAACTTAAATCAATTTATGAAAACATCCAAAATATGTAAAAATATTTAAAAGTAAAGCCAAACCTAGAAAATTATTAAGAGGCCATCTAACTTACTTCCAGAGGAGGTTCCCCAACCCCTCTTCCTCTTACAGAACACTGCAGGTTTTCAGTTGTCTCTAAGGAGGAAGAGGACTTTCACTGCTTTACTTCTCAGCTGGGTTCATCTGGCCAAAGGGCAATGCTGCTTGGCTCACTCTGGGTGCAGTTAAAGGGTGGAGATTCATATCTCCCACTTCCTAGTGTCTGAAGTGAGTGAATCCTTCAGTTTTAAGTTATAGTGAAAAAGTCTTTTAACTAATCTTCAATGAATGTTCACTGGAGACTCCGAGCTTCCAGTCTCAGAAGAGGACGAGGAGGATGCTACAAAAGAGTCAGGGTAGCTGTCCCTAGATTTTCTGACTAGCCACGTATACTGAAAAAACTAATGCTCTGTGCCCAGGACATGCCCATGTCTGACAGAGTTAACAAAGTACAACTACTACAGAAGAACAAAACCAAACACCACACCAGGTCCTCCCATCTGTAGTCTACACACTACAGCATTGGGAACTCTGCAACCGCCATCACCACCACCACCTTCTCCTTCCAAGATGAATGGTCTCCACTAGACTACGACTGGCCAGAAAAGGTGGAAGTCTGTTACTGATGTGGGAGTGATTTCTTACTAATAAAGAAACTGCCTCGGCCCTCATAGGACAGAAAATTAGGTAGGCGGAGTAGACAGGAGAGAATGCTGGGAAAAAGAAGCTGAGTCAGAGAGAGTCGCCATGATTCTCCCACGCCAGACAGATGCAGGTTAAGATCCTCCCTGGTAAGCCAGCTAGTGGGCTACACAGAATATTAGAAATGGGTTAGAACAATATGTAAGAGCTAGCCAACAAGAAGCTGGAACTAGCCGGGCCAGGCAGTGTTTGAAAGAATACAGTTTCCGTGTAATTATTTCGGGGCATAAGCTAGCCATGCGGGCGGCCGGGTGCCGGGGACGCCGCTGCCGCTCCTATCTCAACATGTTACTGTGTACTTTCCATTTTAAGTTTATTTCAGTGGAGAAAGAACATTGGAATTTGATCTGACTGCTTCATCACTGGGCTGCAGACAGATGTACCCAGGGATTACTTAGAGACCGTGTGCTCACTTCCTCTGAGGAGTGCAAGGCCAGATGTGTTAAGGCAGATAGAAGATTTTGATACTCTTCCAGGAAAACAATGGAAAGACTTTCCTTCATTTTATTTTTTACGAGTTTTCCCACAGAAGACAATGAACATAATCAAATGACTATGCAATAATGCAATTAGGAATACAGCTTTATTTCAGGCTGTTTTAATCAAATTCCAAACCAAGTGTGTTTTTAGACAAGTGTGTGTCCGGATGCTGATTAGGCTGGTCCTCTGGCCCCCTTGTATTTTAATGGTATGGTTACTAGGAAATAATACCATTGCTAAGTTTTAATATTAGGAGCCCTGTGGCTTCTAGAAATGTATCCTTTAGCAACAACAAATGCAAATGCAGGAAACCTATAGAAATATGCACCAAATATAGAGCAATGGAACTTTCTTTACAGCTCAGTCTTTGTCAGAGTTTTCAAGGACTATGGTTTTATCAGTGAGATGGTGCGCCTAACTTTGCTTCCTCTAAGTTTTGCTTCTGACATATGTCAGCATGCATCTGTGAGATAAGACAAACATGCAGCATTTAGTGAGGAGAGGAAAGCTCATAAAGCAAAGTTACAACTGTTAACAATACATCCAGTTTCATCCGACTACAGTGGAGTTTTTACTGTTTTATTCATACCGTGAGTTTCACACCAGAAGTATTAGGTCAGCCCTAAAACTACCAGATCTCCTAAGCTGTATAACCACAAGCAGATATCACTGCCTAGTACTTTAATTTCACTTCGTGCTCTTTATCCCGGGAACATCCTGTGTTCCGAAGTCAATCCTGTCTAAAATTAATGTTGGTGTTGTAGTTTTCTTTGGATGGGTGGTCACGTGGTATAT